AAAATGGGGTATTCGCAGTATCTGATCCTACTCGAAGTACTAACAATAAAACTGTGATACAGTTCCTTCTTATTAAATGATGAAAAATATATTATCATAATAAGTATTTATGATTATTGAATTTTAATGAAAAACTCAGAATTTTCCTGTTTTTCATTTTTTTAACGACATTACTTAATGTTACAAAAAAGGTTTACTTAATATAATGACAAATAACCCATTTTTCGCTAGTAAGTACATACTTATTGGAATCCCTGTATTTATTAATCAGCTCGCGATAATATTGGTTTTGTAATAATTCTGAAAAATTCAAAGTAAATAATGTAGATTTTTATAGGTAAATCACCCCTTTCATCACCCTACGCCTATAAGTATTGCGATGTTGTAGCTAAGAACCAAGTTCCCATCTACTTCTATATGGGAATTCATTATATTCGATTTAGCTATTAGGACACGGAAGCGCAACAAACAAATTCACTTTCGCATTTATAATATTATATTATACTTACTAGTGATCCACCCGGGCATTGTACGGGCGAAATTTATTTATCGGAATAAAATATAGCCTATGTCACTCGGACAAAATGTATTTAAATAAAGAAAAATGTTATAATAAATAACGTATCTACCTTATGATGAATTAATATTTGAAACCGGTTCAGTAGTTTGACAGATTATTTGTTACAAACATACAAATCTTGCTTCTTTATAATATTAGTATAGATAGTTAGGATACCCACTGTTGAAAAATATTATGTATTCTTGAATATCTAATGGGTCCCGACTATTAAAGTAGCTTTGTTCCTTATTAACAGAATTATAGACTACTGGACTTGTTTTTTTCTTTTCAGTTTTTATTTGAAGTATAAATAAGCAGTCGGGTTTTTTGATTTTTTAAATTTACCTTTTTTTTCTACATTGAATGTAGTTCTTATCATTGAATCTACTGGTTTAAAGAAAATAATTTCAATTTTCTTTCTTTAGTGAATCACTTCAGCTTTAGACATATACTAGCTGACCCAGCGAACTTCGTACCGCCCTAAAAAAATAGGGGTTGTCCAGCGGACAAAATTGTGAATCTAAACCATTCTCAGATCCCCTTGAACACACACAAAAAATTTCATCAAAATCGGTCCAGTCGTTTAAGAGTAGTTCAGTGACATACACACTCACAGAAGAATTATATATATAAAGATTTTGAATATATCTGCTATGGAAATTCAGCGATATTTGCCTGTCTGAATTTCCGATCTCTTTACTTTAATAAAAGTATGGATTCTTTCGCATTATCGTCTATTTTTAGCTTTGACTTGACTTTGCTTGAATCCACGGGGCCGTGGGCTGAAGCCCAAAAAGCCATATGGTAGATCTGGCCCTGCATCGAGTTATGTGATCCCGGTTGTATGAGGGCTCCCACACAAAACTGCGATGCGATGCGATAACCTCAGGGAAGTTAGCCTAGCATTTTTGGAATTTTATTAGTATCCAGGTTGTTCTGGATTGTTCTATGTTTGTACTACATTGTTCCAGTTTTATTTGAAAAAACAAAAATTTGAAGCTACTAGGCAAAAAAAATCTTTTTTTTATGGTAGCGCTCTATTGTTGGAAATTCAATGTTTTGTTGGTTGTTCCAAGTTGTTCTAGTTGTTTTTATTACTGTTCCAGAGTCTAAAGAAAAAACAAAAATTTGAAACCACCAGGCAAAAAAACTTTTTTTAGTATTTCTCCATTTTTAGAAATTTAATATTTTTTCGTTGTTCCACATTGGTCTAGTTGTTCCTAACATTGTTCCAGAGTTTTATTTGAAAACACAAATATTTGAAGCCACTAGGCAAAAAGAAACTTTTTTTGGTAGCCCCCCATTGTTGAAAATTCAATGTTTTGTTGGTTGTTATAAGTTCTTCTAGTTGTTCCTAACATTTTCCAGAGTTTTATTTTAATAAATAAATATAAATGTTTTTGCCCCCCCCCCCCCCCCCCTATTTTTGAAAATTCAATGTGTTGTTGGATGACAACTAGAACTACTTGGTAGTTCTAGTTGTTCCTAATATCGTTCCAAAGTTGTATTTGAAAAAACTAAAATTTTAAGCTGTCAGGCAAAAAAAAACAGACCTACTAGAAACTTTTTACCGAAACGATTTAGAACAATGACGATTCTATAAGAATAACCGTGGGCTATATCGTTCCAATTTCATTGAATCACTTTGAATAAAATTAATAGTTATCAGATAACAAAATATTTACAATATAGGGTAAACTACCCAATTGTTGGCACTTTAAGAGTAGGTTCCATGTCAGTCAGACATTAAATTACCATAAAATCACATCTAAAGGAGCTGGTACACAACATATGTAACAGTTATAAAGAAAATAGTTTAATCTTTGATTTCATAACTATTTGTATGTAATGAATGAATGATAATTAATAGACATTTTATACTTTAAACCAAAAGACTACAGAAAATCCTATATCGGCACCAAAATTCTCAGTATTGGCGTGTATTCGTATTCTTATTGGCTTATTGGCATTAGTAGAAAGCAGGGGATAGGAATCTACTTAAATACCTGTCAAACAATGATTTATTAAATTAGTATACCCTGGGTATGAGAAGGTAAGTAGGCTGGTATTTCTTGTTTTTATAATGATAGACTACCATAAAAAAAAGTTATTTTTGCCTAGTAGCTGCAAATTTTAGTTGTTACAAATTAAAACTCTGGAACAATGTCGAACAAATATAGACCAATTCAGAACAACCTGGATAATTAATAAATTCCAAAATAGTGTGGCTAAATCCCCTGAGCTGGTGCGATACGATGTCGCATACGATTTCGTGCGACAAAGCTTTGGTTTAGGTGACCATACCCTTATCGGTAGTCAGCCGTATTGGACATGTTTTAGTAATAGTGACATGGATCGTAAACAGATAGTTGCATTGCTATTATTGTTAAATAGATATAGAAGAAAAAGAATATTTTAGGTTCATCCATTTATTACGATTATGAACGATGATAAGAACCATTTTACTTGATAATACTATGATTTGAGAACTGTGTGTTTACTGGTATTTCATATAAACTTTTATTTTCTATTTCAACCACTTCAAATTATATTTTTTCGATAAAAATTAGCCTCAGATCTTCATCTCCATAAAAAGATAGTGTTAAACATAGATAAATGATGGGTCTCGAGTGAAGCGAGACCAATTATTTATCTATGGTGTTGAATATATTTATCACTTGATTTTATTAAATAGGTAATTATCATTGTTTCACTAGGTACTCAGGTACCTTGTTTAGTATTGAAAACACAGGGACATCAGCAGTTAAACAACAATAGATATTTTAACTTTTTTTGTTTAATAGAAAACACAAATAAATTACACATACAAACACAGGCAGCAGGCAATAAAAAATATAAATTACCTAAAATTTTTATCACAGTAAATACTTACCAAGACAGTTAAAAACTTAAGATTGGAGTAAGATTTACTTTAAGTATTGTCCGCCTTATTAATATTAACCAACAACTTATAGTATTTTCCTAACACTGAGTGGGTCTTCCAAATGCTTCATGATTATCGGAATTTATTAACATTCTTAACTTATGTACTTAACATATATATGCTAAATTAAGTAGTAATATAGAACCATAATATGAAAATCAAGATATTTAATTTAAACGACTACTCAAATACAAAATTTTGATTTGGTTTCTAGATGTAAGTAACATGGGCATTAAATATACTAAACAAGTCATTGTAAATTGATAAAAAAATGGAGCTTTTACCCACTCCTTTTAAACATGAAAATTTTAAGGATACCTTTAATTTTAGGCATGTAGAAAAAACGTGTGTTTATAATTATATTTATTCTTATACTACTTGTCCTATGCATTACCTGGATGGAAATACAGACATCTTTATGTACAATAAATACCTAAAGAAACAGTTCAGGTCAAGGAATGACATAATGAGCGGTCCTACCTAACCGTTCTATAATACAGACCAGAAAAACCTTTTTTCTGTTCTGTGGCCTTAAAGCATAAACATAAAAACGATCTCAATGTTTAGTCACCAATAACAAGACTATTATAACCTAGGTGCTTCTTACTTATGTGTGTATATAGTAACACTATAGTAAAATACACCTACACTTAAAAAACATATCCAGTGACCAGAATTTATAAATATTACTGTTTTTTTTTTTAAATAGTATCCTTACTAAAGTTGATTTATGATGTGCTTGCGATTTTTAAGCGTAGAAGAATGAATAATTATTCAGCATCACTATTTCCTGGACGGTGTTTCGTCATTTGAATAAGTTATTATTGTGTGCTGCTACAATATTAAGTACAATTCTGTTATAACGGTCGTCGCTACAAGCGTCTCTATTAAATAAAAGAAAAAAAAATCAAAGAAAAACATCTGCTTAATGACGTTAATCAATAATAATAACAATTAAGTAACAAAATGCTTAATTCATATTGTCCTTTTTTTAAGTTTAGGTAATTCTAACATGTATTAAATACTTAAGTAAAATTAACAGCCTATCTATTATACTTCTTCAAAATTAAGATTAATACCTAGCTACGTACTTTTAGCACTTTAAGATTCTTTAAGTATCTTTATTGTTTAAAAACTTTAACATTTCGTTTGGTATAATTAAGCCTTAATAAATGTACATGTAAGTTGAGATTTCTTGTCCCTCTAATTTTAAAAAGTGCATCTCGTATCTTTATACAGCTTTGCATAAATATCAACAAATTTAAATAACTGTAAACCTACTTAAGTACCTACTTACTCCATTAATTAATACAAACAATTCAAGAAAACCATTCATGAATGGCACAAGAAAACAAATTATAATTATAACGAATAACATATGACGAATGGTTAACACAACACTGTATTTTAAAAATCAGCAAGATCTAGCAAAAACACGGATCACGAGCAAAATTGACACATCGCATTGCGCAAATAGTAGGTAGCAAGATAGATTATAACAAATTCGCTAATCGGCAAATAAAAGAAACACCAATAACTTATTACTTTAACTTAGCATGTGCAATGTGATATGTCATCTTACCTGAGAAAAGCAACATCCCACAGAAATTCTCCTTGGCCCTATGATAACAAAGTACATGCATATTTATAGTAGTAATTTTTATAGGAAATAAGAAAATAATTAATTCAGTCTTTACATATAAAACCATCGATATAAACAACTAACCTTATATACTCTTAAATAAAAATGCACTCTTGAGCCTTTACTGGCATTGCTATACACCTATCCGTACATTGTGTGGACAATGTTTAGGTAATTTCTTTTCAAGCTGGTTGTGGTCGTCTAGTGTGCGTTCTCATATGCCTCGTGATCATATCTCGGCGGCAGGCGGCATATGGGCAAGACGGACAGCGATATGGCTTCTCGCCCGTATGCGTCCGCTGGTGAGTCGCCAAATGATCTGAGCGTGAGAACACTTGACCACAAGCTGAACATGAATAAGGCTTAACGCCGCTGTGCAAGCGAGCGTGTCTTGTCAGCATATCAGAACGGGCGAATCTTCTACGACATATTTCACATTCATAAGCCCTAGTAGCTTCTGGTGTGCGATTTCTGTGTCTCGACGCTACATGTTTGGCAAGGCGATCGTGGACCGTAAAGGTTTGACCACATGTTGCACATGCGTATGCGGGTTGCTCAATTTCCTGAGGTGCCTTAGTCGGTTCCGCCTTTACGGAGAGGTCCAAAGGCAACTCTTCCTCTGGCGCCTTGCTGGGCTCGTAATATGGAGAGTCAACCATGAGCCAGCGCGACGATGGATAGTGATTATTGTTCCGCAGCTGTACAGCAAGCTTGTCCAGTAGTTGTGACAGTCGCCGACGCTTATGGAGATGTCGCGGACTCTGCGGCACCGATACTTCTGCCATGCTACCGATGCAGCTGCTGCTGGTCTCCCCGTGCCCCTCCACTTTGATTGTAGGCCTCCAACCTGCACAAATATTAAATAGTTAAAGCTGAAATCAATATTATGATAAAATTATATTACAAAATTGTCTTATTCTTACTCAAAACTGTTTCTAGGTGTAACTTATTAGTTATATTTAACGTAATGTGTGAGTATCGTTTTTTTTCATTACTGTAAATGTCTGTACAGTTCGGACCCTTTTGAGAGCAGGTGATATTGAAGTACCTTATTGCTTAACTAAAAGGACGACATATGAGCAAATATCAATAGTACATTGCACCTTTGGCGCATCTGTCCTTTAACAATTACAAGCGAATCTTATCCTTAACATGTGATTGGTGAGTTGAAGGAGGTTTCGAGCCAATGAGAAGTCTTCTTCATCTATCAAAGGAATCCCCTAAAGTTTCGAGATACATATTACACGGGTATCGCTATAGTTTTTTTTTTCTTGGGTAGGTACCTACTTACAATAGGCAATGTTAGGAGGCGTTGCTAACAGCTCGACATCGCACAATGAACTTAAAGTTATTATTCTCGTCTGAATAGAACCTTCGTCTGTTTACAAAAATAAATACTGCCAGGTGGTGGGATGGTGGTGACAGAAAAAATATACGCCGCAACATTTTTTAAGTATGTTATTGAACATTGACACAAGTTTACTAAAAAAAATATTAGAAGCGAATACAAATTATAGTTTAATTAATAAAGTCTAAGAAACTACATTTTATACCCGATACATTGATTTTTAAATTTGACAAGTGTTTGTCGGTCAGTTTTTCATTCCATAAGATTCCCACGGTTTTTAGGTTCAATGCCTTAGTTTATTTAAGCTTTAAACGAAACAATCTATTTTAGATACTTAAATGGTCTATTGATCGTATATTCCCAAAAAGTTCTAAGGTAAGTAACGAGTCGTCGTACCAGATAAATATAATTATGTAGGTATATAAGTAAAACATATAAAATTTGTAATTTTGAAATTAAACAGTTTGCCAAAATTAATTCTGTATGAAATTATTACCTAACCAGCGAACCTAAGAAATAAGTGACTCATAAAAAAGACGTGCTTTAGAATTTTACTTTTTTTTCATATTTATTTTAAAAGCGTCTTTGTTATTCTTATTTATTCCAAATTGTCGACTCTCGCATGTAACAAATAACAACATCTTGCTTGACACAGTAAAATAACACTACCTTTTGATGGTGTTGTGTTTTTGTCGGTAAGTAAGGGTTCCAGGCAGTGCCGTTTTTGACCTATTGGAGGCCCTGGGCATATTAGGATAATACCTCCGTTTGGTGATCTAAACAGGAACTAGGGACTTGTATTTGATCTGAGGTGGGCCCCTATCGATTGCGGGGCCCTGGGCACTTGCCCAAAGTGTCCACTAAGAAAGAGGGGTCTGGTTCCAGGGCTCCACGAGGAAGGGAGTGGTTCAGGGTAGGCAACGGCGCGAGCGATAATTTTTGTATCACAAGCGTCTATAGGGTATGGTAGCTGCCTACTATCAGGCTTGTATACGTTTGTTGGCCACCCATTTAACATAAAAAATGCATAAAAAGCGTTTCACTCTGCGATCGTGAGAGCAACATTCGCAATGGCGTAAGATAGGTGATAAAAACATATTATCTCTAGCTTTTTCGTGCTTCGGAAGGGCGTTATACCAGTTGGTGTTGACTGCATCGGCAGTCGATAGCACCCAAAAAAACGCACTGGGCCTTCGTAGTGGTCCATAGGAAGTATGGGCCTGCGTAGTGGTCTATAGGAAGTATTCTCTCCACCCATATTCTCTATTTTAAGAGACGGACGGCCTGTGCCTTTGAATTGATTGATTAATGATAATGACACGACTTGCAGCGTAGCTAAAGTTCATTTCCTTCTGTCACTGTGCCCGCACTTTTCGATTCCTAAGCTGTTTATGTCTTTAGTTAGACATATCAATTTTGGTATTTATCATGCATGCATTTTTATCATCAGCCACTACTGAAAACTGACTATAACTATTTGAACTATCGTCTATTTGATGACCGCTTACTGAAGTGGCAACGCGCCCATCTTCTTAACAACGGTCCAGGATTCACATCCCGGTAGGGCATAATGAGGTATCTGTGTGATTAGCACAAATGTTTCTTCCTTCTTTACTTCTAAAGTTACGTACCTATTTTCGTTTAATATAATGTAATTTCTAGACATTCAGTAGGTACCACTGAGCTATAATTTTGTTCAATATACGAGTATTTCCCTTTTCTATTCCTTTCCAAATCATAATATGTTCCGCGAAGCAAATTTCTCGAATTACGATTATTACGAATAATCTAATGATGGCTATAAAAAACATACACTCGTATTACGATACGAGGAAATGTCATACTAGCTTTTATTGCTAAAGAACTAAACTGCTAGATAAATAGTAAAATGACCTCTTGTTGTGGTAAGCATTAATGGAGGTAACTACCGTTAAATTTTCCCTTGTCTTATCAAAGTTCTAGGCCGGAGTTTGTTGGTACTATCAGGTGACAGCATTGAATATCTCCCTATACTTTAAATTGTTCCTTCTACTCCACAAGTTTAACATTGCGTTTATAAAAACTTTAAATTGTAGGATCATTTCATTATATTTTTGTTTTTCATTAACAATAAATAAAATAATACTCAAACTCAGAGCCTATTCTAAATTTTCTTAAATCAAGTAGGTAGAGCTTATTTAAACAATCTTTAGAAAATAGACTAAGTTCCTATTCATATAATTAATTACAAAATAGTACTAACAAAAATATGCACTTAAACATACATATTCCACAATGCTCCTATTGCAGTTTCCAGTAGTAAAAAAATGAAGATGCATTTATCCACAACGTATCACACACATCAGAACCACACAGCATATCAGGCACACAACAAAATTGTCCGTCGTCGTAAAACTGTATAGGTTTTGTCTAAAGCATTTTGTGAGATGCACTTAGTTTTAGCACGAGAACCGAGGTGCGTAGTGAACGGTACGTAAGGTCGGCGGGTCGGGCGTGCGACCGACGACCGGTCCCGCCGCCCCCGCACCTTGCTTTGGAAACATTAGACATTCACACACGAGCCATCGACTTTGGGTTACGAACGCACTAGCAACGTGTGTAGCCTATCGTCGCGAACAACTGACTGCTGTTCCGTACAACTGTGCGCTGCGCACCCGCCACCGCACCTGCGTCGGCGACTCGGACGCGATCAAACATCGTTGCATATTCCCGCTGCATACATGTCTGCAGTTAGGGCTCACTCACCCCGACACAGACGATACTCTTCTTGGTCTCATCGTTATTTTTGGTTGGTGTCTATCTCCTTATAATAATGTCTTACTCGCAGATATGTGAGTGAACGTTAATAGTGCTTGGTTAGGCATTAAGACACTTTAGTATATCCGAGTTGTACCTATGTATATTGTGTTTAAAACAGCAAATATTAGCAAATCTCTCATAGGTTATTTCTATGCTTCATCAACAGGGGATGATGATGGGGTAAAATAAACGGAATTGTACTTAGTCCGCCAGTAAGAATATTAAAAAGTAATGGACAATTATTTTTTATTTCGTCAATCAACCAAAAAATAACAAAGATAAAGCTTAATGATTTTTAAAAACAATACCGAAAAACATTCTATATTTAGATTATTGGTGAGCGCTAATCGGCTATAACGAAAAAGTAATAATCCCTTAAAAAAACAAAGGTACGGTACGTTAAAGTTCTGATTAGTTATGTCGTCGTCAGAATATGAGATGTACCGATGATGATTATTCTTGCAAAAGAGATTAAGTTTCTAAAATTTAGCGGGCCCCATGTATTTAATTATATTTTTATTATAAGAGAAGAAGAAGAACGAACGAATGAACAGTGTTTTAGTTTTGTCTTATACGTTGAAAGGACTATTTTTTGAAATTTAATTGTAAAAACTTATTGAGAACTGTGAATTTAATTGGACCTATTGTAGGTAGGTACTGCCCGCCCGTACAAACATTGGCGGCTCTTTGACCAATAGCGACACATAATCCACCCACCTGTTGATCTTAAAATTCTAATGTTACGCTACAAATGAGGTTATTTAACCTCAATGTTTTAAAGAGTAAAGAAAATAATGAAAAACACTCACCCGCGACATCTATTCCAAGAAAACCGCCCTTCTGCGTATTTATCAAATTGTTCAAAATATTCATTTTCGGTAACAAAACTAATCAAACAGACACAGCACAAACCGCAAATCTTTTCAACTAAGTACTTATAACCTACTAACTTAGTGATAAAAAAAACAATAAATATATAACAGAAAAATATAACAGGAAGTGAGAGTGAGTTGTGTCCGACACGAGCTCGATATAGCGAATGAAGTCCCGTTAGACGAAATCTCTGCTAGGGTGGAAAAATAATAAGTATACGTCTTTTTGTTGTGTACTAAGCATTGAAGGTTGACTCCCTAAGAAGGGTCCGAGTTGGGAGCGCGCCGTGAGCAGATGCAGGGGTCGCGTGGGAAACGGGGGCGTCTCGTGACCCCACACAGCTGCTTCTATCTAGCTTCTTGGCGTCTTGTCCACCTTCACATTGCCATTGCGAACATCTTCGCGCGTCTTACGACGCCACCCACAACCAAATTGCATACGAAGCCACAACCGAACTGTCGTTAGCGGGTACGATCTTCGCGCATTTTTTGACGAAACTATTGAGCCCAAACGTATACGAATTCACAACCAAACTATTCGCTTCCTACGAGTGAAGTAAGACGAAATAAAATATTGACGGCTGTAACATTGACATTGTATGCATTCTACCCTCTTAATTCTAATAGCAGGTGAAACACTGAGTGGATTTTTAAGCATAATAAGTTATGTACTTCATTAAATTATCTTTCAAATACCTTAGGGAAACCCAATGATTTATGTCAGAATACATTATAGTCGTTAGGAAAAAAAACAAAAAATTATGTGGTGTCATGGGACACCAGGTAGGAACGAAGTTCCTTCGGCTAATGTAGAATCGACACAAATTGCAAACTCGCTTGTGTATGCTACTGTCGCGCCTACGCACGTCTCATTTAACGGTTTTATTCCACGCACTTTTTTCCACGGATTTTTTCTTACGGTTTTACTATCACATTTTTTTCTGTTCGGTCGCGCAGAAAAACCCCTATCCCCTCCAAGCCTGCCGTAAGGAACTTCGTCGCGCCTGCGCACGTCTCATTTAACGGTTTTATTCGACGCACTTTTTTCCACGGATTTTTCTTACGGTTTTACTATCACATTTTCACATTTTTTTTAGTTCGGTCAGCTAGTGTTCGTAAAGATTGCTAGGCAGGACTGGCCCACAGATTATAATAAACTACAATGTCACAATAATCCAGTAATGCAGCCCCGTCGCTCTGCCACCCCCTGGACTTAAGCACAGTTGAGTATAATATACGACAATAATCCAGTGTTGGTATAATGCCACAATAATTTGGGGTTGCACCCCCGTCACTCTGTCATCCCCTGTTAAGTACTGACCTTGTTATCATGTCTAGCTTAAGTTTACAGCAGATGATAGGCGTTCCTGGTCCACAGCTCGGTATAACGTCACAAATATCCAGATTTCGTGTAATGTCACAATATTCCAGTGCTGCACCCTCGTAGCTGTGCCACACCCTACATACGCACCTTATTATTATGTCCCGCTAGCGTTCGTAAAGGATGCTAGGCAGGACTGGCCCACAGTTTAGAATAAACTACAATGTCACAATAATCCAGTGATGCACCCCCGTCGCTCTGCCACCTCCTGATAAGTACTCACCTTGTAATCATAATCATGTCTCACAGGCGTTACTGGTCCACAGCTTGATATAACTTCACAAATATCCAGTGTTGGTGTAATATCACAATATTTCAGTGATGCACCCTCGTCGCTCTACCACCCCCTATAACTTCACACATATTCACTGTTGGTGTAGTATCACAATATTTCAGTGATGCACCCTCGTCGCTCTACCACCCCCTATAACTTCACACATATTCAGTGTTGGTGTAATATCACAATATTTCAGTGATGCACCCTCGTCGCTCTACCACCCCCTATAACTTCACACATATTCACTGTTGGTGTAGTATCACAATATTTCAGTGATGCACCCTCGTCGCTCTACCACCCCCTATAACTTCACACATATTCAGTGTTGGTGTAATATCACAATATTTCAGTGATGCACCCTCGTCGCTCTACCACCCCCTATAACTTCACACATATTCAGTGTTGGTGTAATATCACAATATTTCAGTGATGCACCCTCGTCGCTCTACCACCCCCTATAACTTCACACATATTCAGTGTTGGTGTAATATAACAATATTTCAGTGATGCACCCTCGTCGCTCTACCACCCCCTATGCGCACGTCTCATTTAATGGTTTTATTCCACGCATTTTTTCTTACGGTTTTACTATCACATTTTTTTCAGTTCGGTCGCGCAGCAAAAGCCCTATCCCCTCCAAGCCTGCCGTAAGGAACTTTCGTTCCAATATGTAGGTTTAGAATAATGTTAATAAAAAAGTACTTAGGTCTATAATATTTTTAATTAATCCAAGCATTTAACTTCTAAATGTTTAAATCTATACAAAAAAAATACTGACACATTGCGGGTGGGAAATGCGAAGAGATGGCGCTGCCTTGCAGCTTAAGAAACACTAAGAGCATAGTGGAAGACGCGGGTTCGAATTCCGTCTAAACAGGTTTCAGACGGCCGAGTTGATTTTTTTCTATTAAATCAATACTTAGGTCAGGCTGTTAAGTCACCGAAGTTAGACCCGCTATCGATGTTTTAATTATGTAAAATTTTCGATATGACGAATGAAATTCTACCTGATTTTTAACACGCGTACAAGTACGTCGCTTTTCCATTTAACAACTTTATTAAGTTAGTAAGAGTACTAACTTAATAAAGTTGTTAAACACATAGGTGTTATTTGATTTTTTACAATAATTAAAATAGCTTTCTTAAACGAGAAGTAGGTGGGACTATATCTTAATATATATAAATCTCGTGTCACAATGTTTGTCCTCAATGGACTCCTAAACCACTGAACCGATTATAATAAAATTCGCACACCATGTGCAGTTCGATCCAACTTGAGAGATAGGATAGTTTAAATCTCAAATTATAGTCGCAATTTTAATTTATTGCAAATTATTACTTTTGGGCGGTACGAAGTTCGCCGAGTCAGCTAGTCTTATATATAAAATTCTCGTGTCACAATGTTAGTAACCATACTCCTCCGAAACGGCCTCACCGATTTTTATGAAACTTTATATGCATATTCCGCGGGTCTGAGAATCGGCTACTATCTATTTCTCATATCCTTAACTGATAATGGTTGTCCACCTGTAACTCAGTTTTCTGAAACCTACAATGCGCCTTCGCGCCTAAATTCAAACTATTGGGTATTGTAACGTAGTGTTCTCATATGGGTTAGGAGGAATGTTATCCCAGGAAATTGATAAAACACTACGTTACACACCCTAAAATTGTTTTTGGATAATACTTATTTTTTTATAATGTGGTATTCAAAAATACATACAACCCTAAATTTTCTCTTCTACCACCTGCCCCTATTTTTATGGCATGGCCGTACGAAGTTCGCTGGGTCAGCTAGTATCACATAAAAATATCATATATTAGTACTTTATCAATAGATTTCAAGAAAATGTACCAAATAAATTGCGCACAACCCCGCGGATGGTTGAGGACAGAACACCAAAATATACAGTTTGTCAGTTAAAAACAAAATTATTAGAACACATGAATCTTATAACCAAAACTCAATTCCCGATGCCACGTTTGGCATGAGTTTGGTTTCAGATGTTCTCCGAAAACAATAGTGACAGGTAGCCAACATAATTATCACTTAAAACAACGATTTCCAATTGTGTCCGTTGATATATTTAAACATCTAGCGTACTAACTAAAACTATGTTTTTTCTCTTGACTCACATCCAGTCCAGTACCCTTAGTACGAGTTTTACAATTACGAAAACTATGATGG